TAACTCACACACGCTGCCACACCCTCTCACACACATACACGCATCAGAGAGCTTCTTTAATCCCAAAAAGGGCAAGCCTGCATGTAATTTGATCTTTCCACGGCAGTGCTAGGAAATTCTCAGGAGAGCTGTGTTTTCCACAGTCATGCTCTGCTTTTTTTCTCACGCTTATGAAAGGAGATGAGCGGAGCACCAAGGACGGCTGCAGGTTTTCCCCTCACAACCGACAGTGACCATCCAATGATGATCCATGCAAATTATTATAATAGAAAATAGTAAAAGTGGTCGCACAACGTGGACCTTAGAAAAGTGTATGAAAATAAGAGAAAAAGTGTTAAGAAAAGTTAAGAAAATAAATAAAATATTGTACTGTACAGTGTTTTTACAATATATTTAATGTGCATGTGGTGAATAAATAATCAACAAACAGCTGTGTTGATTTTTACAGTAATGGATTTGTGCAACAACAGCAGAGATGTGCAAAAATGAAAGCAGCTATTTGACTGAATAAGACAGAAACTGTGCAAAAATCAGCATGAATGCTACAACTTATTGAGGTTGTTGGGAAGAGTTATAAAGTCTTCCAGCTGCTGGGAGGAAGGATCTGTGAAAACGCTCCCTGGTGCATTTAGGGTGCAGCAGTCTGTCACTGAAGGAGCTTTCCATTTCGGCAACAGTTTCATGCATGGGGTGGGAAATTAAGTTTATTCATGGAAAAATGTAAATAACATATTTTAAAATGCTCTATTAAGTCTCTATGCAAAATTTTTTTTTAGGTATTAACAGAACAATGCAACATAGATAATAAACTTTCTGACTTCTCTAAATAAAATCAGTTGCAGGCCTCAATTGTGCTTAGTTTTAATCAAAGGCCCCGTCCACACGAAGCCAAACTCTGGCCTAAACGCACAAATTTTTCACCAAACCAGCCTCTCATCCATACGAAGCCAGCGTTTCGGGGGTCTGTAAACGATCATCTTTTTATTAAGCCTTCAGAGTGGGAAGATTTTTAAACGCTGTTTTCGCGTTTCCATCTTTAAGCTCTAACCGCATTTTTTTTCTTACACGCATGCGTCATAGCGTCGCCTCTAAACACGCATGCGCGACACAGTATCAAAACAACAATGGCGCCGTACTGTGTTGAATGGTTGCTGCTCATGCTACTCACCCTGCTGTCGGGCTTACAACAGAATCTTCTTCTTTTGGAATATCTCCAGGAAGAACAGAGCAATATAGACGACATAGTTCAGCACCTGAATTTGACTTAACCACGAAAATGGACCCGCAGGGCAACCATGTATAAATATTACTGCGTATGCCCAACATTTTGTTGCCTGTTTTCGCCTATTTTTGCTTTGGCACCACAGCGCCACTTACAGGCCTGGCATACATCTTGCAGCGTTTTCATGCATTCGTGTGGACGATCACATTTATTTTACGTCTCCGTCTTTACGACAAACGTTCTGGAAAATATTAGCGTTTCGTGTTCGTTTTGACTTCGTGTGGACGGGGCCTAAGTGTCAATACAGTTGTTCTGTGATGACACCCAAGGATTGTTTAGGAACATAAATTAACTCACAGCATCATTAAGACCAAGGAACACAGGAGAGAGGAGAGGGGAGAAGCTTAAAGGAGGCACAAAGACAATACTCAGAGCTGAACATCTCACAGAGATCTTTTCAATCTGTCATCTTCAGATTTATTTTGTCATTTTGTATACGAGAAATTTCATTTAAAACAGCTCTAGACAATTTCATTTTTTAAAGTGCAGCCTTGAAAACAGTAATAAATACATAAACAAAGATAAGATGAAGATGAAATGGTTATGACAGAACCACAAACCTACAAATAAAAGCCCAGTTATCTACATGGACAGCCATGGGGGAAAAAAATCATAAAATCGGTAAAACGTGGTGAATAACATTCTGGTTATATAGAACCAGTGGGGTCTCTTTATATCGGATTAAAGCTGGAGAGTGAGAAGAGTTGAAGCTGGTTCATTTTCAAGGGGTTCGTATCACTTGGTCCATTTGTAAAACAATCAGAAATCCCTCCCCCTAAAACTCTGCTCTGATCAGTCTTGCAAAATCTCAATTAAATACTCTGAATTTTATGTTTTAAAAGTTATAAAAAGGTTGAAGAGGTGATAAATAAAGAACCCTGTACACACTGCGCTATCAGCAACTGAACCATCATCTGCTTAGCAACCACTGGGCTTCCTCCTCCTGTAAACAATCTGGACGACCGGGATGTGACAGATTATTTCATTCAGGGGAAAGTCGGCTGCTGAGGGGATTTGAAGGTCAAGACCCAGAAGGATTACAGAAAGTCAAATGAGCGGACAGCTGAGGAGGTTATGGACCAGAAGATCTGCTGAGGGGATGGATCTCTCTGGCTTGTTTAAGCTTCCTGATGGGGGGAGTTTGGACTTAGACAGACTATATTGTCATTTTGTACACACAGAGTGTATACAAAAAGAAATTTTGTTCAGTAAAGCTCTAAAATGTGCTCACTCAGATACATGTAGTGGGTTTGGGTTAAGCTGGTAAATATTCACTGAGGATTCTTAAATATGTAATACCTCTTATAGTATAAGGATGAGCCATTTTCTCCTCCCCTGCTCAAATTAAAACACTTAATGCAACCTAAAAGAGAAATCAATGCAGACTGTTTTTTTCCACAAAGACAGAGGGATTCAGCTGTGCATGTTTACCAGCAAGATGGACAGAGTTGAGCAATTTCACGAGATCAGATGTTACCAGGTGTTGTGCATTGTCTGAAGTAGCCAATATTTTAAAATCAGACTTTTACTCTTGCTTCTCTACGTCTTCTGTGTCGCCTATTTTTTCTCTCTCTCCCTTTAGTTCTTATCCCCTCTCTCTTTCTGACCTCCCTTTTCCATGTCCACATAATTTTTAATAAAATGAATTAATAAAAATTTAATATACAAGTATCAAGCTTATGGCTATGGGCAGGTAGCTCTGGGCTCGATTCGCAGAGCTACATTGGCAAAACAGGACACACAAAAAAAACTTTTATATAATTGGATATTAAAGAGGAAAATCCCCTTCCATGGTCAAAACAAGATTATTTTCCAACATGAGCACCTTTTCTCTACTTGACACCCGATGCCCCAGTTTAGAGGGACCTTTCACCTCGTCACGTTCTCAACCAATCAGTTGGACTGATTCTGTGATCCCGATTTAGCTCGGCTATCAGCTGCATGGAGGAGGGAGAGGCATTTACCAGGGAGAAAGAAAGCCAGAATCACTGGAATCTTTAGGATTACAGTGTAACTTGGAAAATATATTTTACTCTATTATTCCAAAATAGCTTATAGGGAAAGTATTGTTGAAACATTTAACAAAAAAAGTAAGAATCATTCTTTCTCTTCTTCATATTTACTGTTGAATGAAGCCTTACTGTATTTACTGACTCAGGAGGACATGATATCAGCTTCAACGTGTTCGTCAGGGCGAGGAACAGTTTCTAGGGAGACTTGGTGGCATGAAGCAAGGGACACATGATACTGACTGTATGGGTTATTTTTCTGTATAATCATTTTTCTATTTTTCAAACATTGAACACCTCATGTTGACATCTGAAATGTGCAAGCCTGTTGTCAGCTTGTAGGATAAAAATGCATGAATTTCAGCCTTAAATTGGAGAGCAGAGTCCTCTAAAGTTACTTGGGTGTCTAGTAAGGTTATATAAACTGCCTTATAATTAGGAGAAAGATTAATCTGTTGATTTGTTCAGCAGGTAAAAAACAGCTATAAAATAAATGCAGCATATTTTTAAATTAGCTATGGTTTTTATGTTGATCTCATGGCTTAAAGCAGCTTAGCCTCCACACAAACCTAAGGCACATTTGGGCTTTGAGTTATATTTAAATTTACCAACATGTTTCCTCCAGCTGGAAGTAAGATTAGCATTTTAATGTTACCATGCATGAATCTGATGGAGGATCTGTGGAGTAAAGCACATACTACAGTAGAAGAAATTGGATTTTATCTCCAAAGATTAGAAGCTGTAAAGAAGGATTCGGTTGATGTAATGCCGAAAAAATTATTTGTTTTCTTGGAATACTGTAATTTAATTTGAAAGTAAATCTTTTAGAACAAATGTAAAAAGAAACTACAGTAAAAATAAACTTTTCTTTACATTTTGAGGGAATTTTTGAATACATTTACCTGAAGATCCCACCAGTTTACTGGCAAGATTCCCATTAGACCAGCTTTTAATGTTGTGTTCTCTTTTATTTATTTCTGGATACGTATGTAACTGCACAGCATTCTTCTATACAATTAACAAAAAAATGCATGTAAACAATAGAAGCCTTTAAAATTAAATATAAAATTTACCAACACATTGTTATCTGTCTTCTCCTCTCACTCTCCACATGGCAACTCATATTCAGAGTTAAACTTGCAGTGCTAATAAGTACAATTGTTAATGTTAAATTGCTATTCTTAGGGAGGTTTAAATTGCTATATCTTTCTTACACAGATAAAAACACACACAGTAATCACCTTTCATCTATATATATATTTAATTATTGATGATTTACAGTAGGCTAGGAAAAAAAAGATGGAAATGCTGTAATGTACAGATCTTAAAGAGATGTCTAAAGCACATAAAATCAGAATCTGCAGGTAAAAGCTAAAGAACTGGAGATACGAATTCACAAATCTTAGATGTATCTCTACTCCTCATATCTGTAGGTCAAAAAGTGATGAGCTGCACTGTGATCACACACACACAGCAACATTTCACTGCTTATTTAAAATAAGCTCACAACCGGTGTTTGATATTATGGTAAACGACCCAGGAGAAATTTCACACACCAATCAACGCTGCATAACTTAGAACCTCTCAGGTTTATAAAGTGCCATCTTGTGCAAAGTATTTTTAGGAGCTGGTGTTTTAGGTGATGCATGTGTGAAGCCTTCAGGAGGAATCAGGGGTTTCACATGAAGTTAGAAGGGCATGATACTCACCAATGCAGGCGTGTACACGGACGGTCAGCTGGGTCCGCAATACCACGCTGTGCTTCTTTCCTCTGGACCTGAGAAAGAGGGGAAACATAAAAAGATAATAATTTTACATCTTTTCTCTGTATTTTTTTTTATGTGAAGCAACAAGCTTTTTTGATTTTGCAGACAGTTACCTGCAGTAACTTTAGACCCCTATACTGATACAAATCTGAACCTAGAGATAGGAGAACAGAAATCGAAGAAGCAGACACAACACAGACGGAAAAAAAACCTTTTGCATCTCAACGTTCTGATGCACACTCAGCGTTTTTAAGCAAGAGAGCATAAAAATACAATTGTAATGTATGGTGGCCTGCTCCGATCCTTGAGGGCTAATCAGTGTCTTCAATCATCAACAAAAGCAGGGAAAGCACTGCGCTACACAGACACCAGTCATACAGAACAAGCACGGACTCAAAACATCAGCAAGGAAAAAACCTGATTCCTATCCCCACATGGTGTTATCATCTGAGAAGGGGAAGGAAATATTCTGCACATTCTGTTAAGTGAATGTAAAGGTAAAAAAAAAAAAAGGATCCAAAACAACAGATGACAAAGACAGAAGTAAAACGTAAACAAAAAAGGTCTGAAAATGAAAAAAAAAAAAAGAAAATCATTAGAGATTCAATCTAATTCTGATTTCCTCTTCTGTTTTTTTTTTGTTTGTTTTTTTTGCAAAGGCAGATAAATACAGTTCAGAAGGAGATCAATCTACTTCATAGTCTCACAATGATTATCCCTTCTCACCGTTCGGGCGTTGAGCTGAGCCTGAAATGACTTTGTTTACTGTCATCTGTGGTGAGCAGCATCTCACCACAGCTGCAGTCCTCACACATTTCATGGGAAAATTAAGAATGTAAATGTCTTCCCCCAAAAACAAAATAATGGTATAAACACTTGAGTTCTTCCTTCCTCTTCTTTCAGGGCTTTCATTTGTGTTAGACTTTAAAATATATTGTATGATGATAGAAAAAGACCTTTGAAAGACACTTAAAATCATTTTATTTACACTCAGGATTCATAACAAAAAGTCCTTTATTGGGTTAGTTCATTGTGAATTAATTTACCCGTATATCTGTTACTATTAAAAGTATGAAGGAGGATTTTTTTCTTGACACAAGTTGTCCAGATTCGTCTAAAATTACTGAATTGATGGCTGGCATTCTTGTACTTATGATTCCCTCCCCCACAAAAAAAACTGTTGAACAGAGGAGAGAAGTGGGAGAGGATGAAGCCAGCTAAGTGTGCGTTTAGGAGAATCTTTCAGAGATGGCGTGCCCTGAAGGAGCAAAAGGGTCTGAAAACGGATGCTTTGGTTTCAAAGCTTCTACTGGACAGGTAAATTACATTTAATTTTGTAGTAAGTACTGTCTTTATGGAGATTTCCTGCTGACTAGGTGCATCCTAGCACCTTGCTGCCTCTCTAGAGAAATATAAAATTACCGACGGAGGCGTTTTCAGTGAAGAGAACTTTTGCTAAGGATTCAACAATACACAAACAGTACACACACGCCGCTAATACTCCTCAAACGCATGCTTCATATTTTACATGCACAAATAGAATAGCTACCATGAGGCCCCAATATATCACACGTATGAGTGTTTGTTTCTGGTCTGCGGGCGTGTATTTTGTTGCCTCGCTCCTCTTCCCATGTGGACCTATTTCTGCTCGGTCTTGTCAACTTTTGTCACTTTAAAGGCTTTACCCACCAGACAAATCAATGCGCCTGTGGTTGGCTATTTTTCAGGACATCCCGTCTCTTCAGACAGTACTCTTCTTCCTACTAGCAAATAATGAATGGATAACCGCAACTCTTCTAGAGCTGGAAGCTGCTAAGCAGAGGCGTCCATTAAAAGAGTTATATGATACCTATAAAAAACGTTTTAGTCAAATAGCTTGAGTTCTTCTGCTAGCTTAAACATTACCTTTAAACGGCAAGACAGTTTACGCTAGTTACCTTGGCGATACGTCACAACTCAAGAGGCAGGATTGGGGCTTGGTGGTACTATATGTGCGCATCTAAAATGTTAAACATGCGCGTGAGAATTAGTTTACGAGCATCTGTATGAAGTCAAGCTCCTCGTACGAGTGTTTATCACATGTAAGCATGTTTGGTAGAATCCTGATGCCATACACCTAATTGTCTGCATGAGACAGAATTACCATGTCGACAGCATATTTCAGAATACAAGGTCAAAAGTAGGGATGCGAATCGAACACCGGTTCCTGTTCAGAACCGATTCTAAGTGTTCCAGTTCCATGGCACCGTTTGGCAGCTCGCTTAACGATTCTCCTAACGGTTCCAGGCAGCACCAGAGCCTAGCGCTGGGCAGCATGACTTACGCCACCTTTTTTTAAGCAAGTTACCCACATGACATTCAGTGAGCAACCATGACGTGACCAGGCGTAAGTCTAGAAAAGCAAAACAAAAGCTGTCAAAGCGATCGAAAGACTTGTTAAATTTTCAAGGAAGAGAAAGACGGCAACAAGGCGCTTTACAATCATTGCAAAGTGGAAATTACATCTGTGGGAGGAAATACATGCAACCTGCAGAAACACCTGCGCACACAACATGGCATACATTTTAACGAAGCCGTGTTTTTTGATGCTTCCGGACAGAAGCTAGAGTTATGACCAGCATGGAAGGCAACTCTGGTGATAAGTAGCTAGTTTTTTTATCACTGGCTGTGCTTAATGTGCTAAATGCTCCATTTCTGGAAATAAACCAGTTTGCTACCTCTCTTTGGGGTTAATAAACATGCTACGAAGTTACTCCGCAGTTCAGGGAGCGAGAGAAAGGTGACCCTCGTTTATTTAAATCAGGGGGAGATGAGTTTATCTCCCGAAACTGTACAGTAATGCTTTTTCATCAAACGGCTGCCTTCTCTATAAGATTTAGATGACTGTGACGAGACGGCTAGCCTGGCTGGCTCTGAGGCTGGCAGCTCCATGCCCTCTGTTTTCGCCAAGGCAGGCAGAAATAGAATGTCCCAGGCGAAGGTAGACAAATGTTACTGTGCACTTACCAAGTTCATTGTTTCACAGAATCGATAAGAGAATCAATAACGAATCGAATCATTATACAGAATTGATAAGGGAAATGGAATCGTGAAAATCTTATCAATTCCCAACCCAAGTCAAAAGTGTTCATTTGAGTCATGGGACTTAAAATCAAGTCACAAGTTCAATGACTTCAGACTCATTGCATAATTTAATGGAAAAAAAACTTTAACTTGATTCAGACTTTGAAAGTATAACCTATGACTTCACTTTAACTTGAGTCTGTTTACTGGAAAAGGTTTGGTATCTTACACCAAAGGAAAGAAAACAACTGAAAAGTTCCAAGCAACCGAGTACTGATCTGGCCAATCATTGGCCACCCCAGCAGTTGATCCCATGTGAATGTAATTCACTAGGAGTTCCCTTATAAAACAGAGGGTGGCAGCACTGATTTTCTCTAATGGATTTTACATTTTAATTGTTCATATATCAACAATACATTGACAACAAAAACATGGTATTTCATCACTCACATCAATATAATAACATTAAAGACAACAATAAAAACAGAATAATATACAGAAATTGCATTTATTTTTCTAATTTCAATTCATGTTTATTGTGATAGGCAGATGCCTTGCGATAGACTGGTGCCCTGTCCAGGGTGAACCCCGCCTCTCACCTATTGACAGATGGAGATAGGCACCACCACCCCTTGTGACCCCAACAGGGGTAAACGTGTCAGAAAATGGATGGGGATTTTTAGATAAGTTATAAGTTAACTTCTTTCTCGTTGTTCTGCAAAACGGAAGCAACTTTTAATACTATAAAACAATCTCAACATTTTTATTTTCCTGATTAAATTACCTAGTTGGTCAAATCAATTGTTTAAGACTGAGAACTTGACTCAAGATTTGCAGTTACTTGGGACCTAAAGCCAGATTTGGCTGAAAAAGCTGTAAACTTAGTTGTGACTTGCAAACAAAATGGTCCCTTCATCAGCAGACTTCCAGTCAAAGGAGCTCCTGAACTGCCAGATAATGCAAAGCATTATTTACCTTCTTATCATCTGTTACATGTGGCAATGAATGCAAAAGGGAACTAATAAATGTGCCCATGGAAACATGCAGAAGTTCATGGAGACACAAAAGATCATCTCTCATCTGGGTTTTAGCAGCAGCCCCGCTGGTCCCAAAACCAAAACTCTCCACAAACACACCCTGTGTCCACCATGTAAACAGATGCAAAAACAAATCAGAAAACAAAAAGATTATATAAAGCCATTTTGATGATAATGATCTAACTTGCTAAAGATGTTGGTACCTATATATAGCAGCTCGTTCTTCAACTAGAATTGCAAAACCAGCTAGCAAAGATGTGGTTAAAATATCATCATATTCTTTTTTTTTTATTTAGCTAAATAGCTTTCTAATCTAACCAAACTATTTCCAATTATAGCACACAAAAAAAAAAAATGCTAAGATGACATAATTTGATTGGCTAGCCATAACTACATGGGTGCGACAATAACAAAAGTGAAGCATTCTTTACTTATTTTTAGCAAGGTGGTGTCCTTTTACTTTGTATCATTCCACAGCAAAGGTTGGTAAAAGCATCTGACAGGATAAAAACCTAAAAAAAATAAAATAAAAATCACCATTTTAAAGAGTCTAGCATTAAAAAAAAAAATTATAGGCATGAAAGGTTGATACAAACACAAGAGGATGAGAGGAAAACAGCCTATTTGAAATAGAACAAATAATGCAAAAAAAGCATAAGAGTGCCCTGAAGTTCCAGATGATAAATAAATATATATCCCCTGTTTAAACCTGTATGGGACTGACCCGAACTAAAGATATACTGGAGGATCGTGCTGTAGTGTTCACCAGTGTGGAGCACAGGTGCAATGTGTATCTATTAAAATGTACAGAAGGGAATTTAGTTCTAATTTCAGCTCCTGTATAGAAAGTAATGGGTGGCTCTCCTTTTTTTACAGACAGTTAAAAAACAGTTAAACAAACAGTTAAAGATTTTTCATACTCCAGTTGTGTTTTTCTAAACTTCTAATGAATTAAAAAGACATTTTTTTAGGCTATTTTTCACAATTCATGACTAAAAAAAACTGAATCTAATAGTCATGGTAGAGGGAGTCAGTAAAACTATATGGAGTTTTATAAAAGGATTTATTATTAAAGATATACTTTTTCTTTGGTAAACATTTGACATTATCTTTATTTTAACTTTAAAAACTGGAAGAAAATAGCTTCTTGAATTTTAAACTTTAAAACAAGCTGAGATTTTTAAAAGCATTATGAATTATAGGGAAGGATAAAGTAGAAATATCACTGTGAAAGGTTGCTGACTTTGTCTAAATAAAATCCCAAATAATTGCATTGGATTTGTGGTTTTAAGTGACAAAGCGTGGAAAATCTCAGTGGGTATTAATGTTCTTGCAGAGGGCAACGAATGTCTTCATAGTTTCAGGTTTTATTGCAAATCCTGAAGCCTCAAAGGAGAAGTTTCTTTTGGCTCTAAAAAGAAAATTCGAACTGGAAAACTACTGCAATAAGAGTTTTGTTATAACTTAATGTCAAAACAACCTGATTTTTAACATTCCAGTTTTGAATTTTTATAGCATGAAAGACCAGCATGTCATTTATTAAAAGAACAAAAAAAAACTAAGAGTTATTGCTCTGGAAAGGAGGGCACATCTGACCTGCTTTGCAGAACGCTTCATACTTTCCATGAACTTCTGCTTCCAAAAAAATCCACATTCAGCAGCTTGGGATTCTGCTCATTTTATGAGCAAGAAGGAACTTAGAGATTATGTTCGTGAGGCGTTAGATCCCGAATGTTGTTGTGCATTTGATTGAAGGAGAATGCTGAGAAATGCTTACCCTGTGTCATCTGCCTGAAAGCCCTCCAGCTCGTCCCGTTGCTCAGCCAACGATGACTCCAGGTCCAGATAGGTTCCATTGTGTGACAGCTGAAGTGCACAATCATCAAGCTGCAAAACATTAAAAAGAAATGCAAATCAAACATCTGATAGGGATTAAATAATAAAAACCAAAATGACGGAAAGTCTGCAGAAAATGTGAGGTCACAACCCTTTAAACTGTAACTCAAACCTTGCTTTAGACCTAAAAGTGGTTTATAGAATTCGTCTGATGATTGACATACATGCATTAGACGCCCACAGGGGTGGGCTCATTTTTCAAATGCCCACTGGCTGCATCTAATCGTGTTTTACACCCTTGTGTAAAACAATGTGGAACTTTAAAATAAAGCCACTTTATTGGGCAGGCGTTAGACCCTAGCATGTACAGCGGTCTTTAAAGGAGGAAGGACCGCTTGTGGTTGGGATCTGCTTTCGGCATTACGGAGCTGTTAAGGGAATCAACTCGTAATAAAGCTACAGGACATGAAACCAAAACCAGAGTGGAGCACAGAAAGAAGGGAAGCTTTTAGTGCATGTAAATACCAGCTGTAGGATATGTGACACTCCAGTGTTGCCTAAATTGTTTTCAGCATGAAGACTCAACAAACTCAGGTGTCTGTATCTGCAAACGCGGACTTTCCTCGCTTGCAGAATTATTATCTGCACATTTTGCACACTCAAATCTTACACCCACGTATTCTGCGATTCCATGATCTGAGGAAACCCTGCAAAGACAGATTCTGTTTGCTGTGTAACGAGAAACCCTGCCGAGTTCGGAACCAGGTGTACAGCTATATATCTGCACCCCACTGGCACGGATCTTTATGAGCACAGTCACAAGTTGAGAGCAGGTGCAAACAACTATCCTGGAGACAACACACAAAAAGCATCTTACATCATTATGTAGCAACAAAGGCCTGTAGCTCCTGGTTAAAGCCCTTTGTGTATGAATAGGTGAATGAGATCAGAGGAGTCATGCTGTGGTATTTAGCAGTTCAGTGGTATTGGCTGGAATAACGCAGGAAGAGGTGTGCTGCCAAATAACCTCTCACCCCTGTCCAACCATTCAAGTGTCCTGACGACCCTTTCTGACCAGGACAAAACCGCAGATCACAGGACCTGCTCCCTGCCTTTCAGTCGGAAACAGAGACTGACTGTCGGATGGGCTCACAGCGTAAATATAGCCTTGCTATATTTACCCTGCTCTGAGGCGGTGTGCACACAAGGCGTCAAGGGTGGGTGAGTCCACGAGGACCTCAAGTCGAATGGGGGCACAACCGAGACACGGTGCAAGGCCTAAAGGAAGGACTTTGGTTTGGTTTGAACGTGTCCAGATAGTAACCAGACAGATTTTGTATAAATTTTGGCAAAAAATGAAGAGAACATCCGATTTCTATAGATGAATTTAAGATGAATAAAATACCCATATTAGCAGGCAATAGGGAGTAAGACATTTGACAAGGGCTAATTTCTATTGCCATGTTTTTTTTTTAAATCAAATTACCAAAGCCAGAAACAATGGGGGTTCTCAAACACTTTTTTTTCTCCATTTATCAAGGTTTGAGCAAAACAAAGGGAAAATTGACGCAACCTATAGGCAGACAGCCACATTGCCAGCATAATCATGCAGGTTGTTGCCTCTATTTTGTAACAGCGATCCCCAATGGATGGAAGTTACATGGGAGTGTTAGTATTTATCCCAGCAAAGCTCAGTTTTTATTTCTGTTCTTGCAAAAAATGTCCATGCCCTTTGATTTCAAAGCCTAACATAGAGGTTCTCATGCATTCATAACTTGCACCTTATATTACACCAAGTAACAAAACCCCGCCTTCAATTTTACCCATATTTTCTGAAACAACGCTCACCATTTTGACGATTAGATCAAATATAGCTAACAGCCAACAAGCAATATTTATTGCACAATTGAATCTTTCATATACGTACACTGTTCTATGCAACTATCTTTACTAAACATGCTTCACTCTGTTTGCAAGTACAAACTGCAGGAAATATAATTTTATTAGCCTGTGTTGTCAAATGTATGCAGCCTGGTTACTAAAGATATATGAATTAGCGATACCCTTGCTCTAGAAGTTGGAGCAATTAACAATTTAGTCGAATTTGATGTAATCCCCACAATTAATCAAGTTAAAGGAACATTTGTTTTGTTGTTTTACGGCTCTAAATGCAGTTTAATTAATTATTTCCTTTGCAATAAAACATACAACTAAAAGCAGCTCATGTAGCAACACTATTGGTCACCAAAGGACTGAGTATAATGTGTCCAGGAGGATCTGTAACCTAAGCACATTTTTCTCTCATCATTCCTCCCTCAGGTTGATCCCACATGCAGAACACATAATCTTGCATAATAATCAAACATGATGGCTGCTGGTCCTGCTCCAGTTTCCCCCTCTTTCCCTCGGACCAAAATTAATCCATCTGTGTCAACTAGTTAATCCACTTAGCCAAACACACGGCTAACACACACAAATTCTGCATGAATGTTTTAGTCAGTTAACAGGCTGTTATATCTATATTACTAACAGGGTATATGATTGGGCAACAAAAAAACAAGAAATTTGATATAATAATTGGTTAGGGTATGAAAAATTTTAAAAATCTATCATTAAACAGCGTAACCCGAAGTCCTGTAGCTAGCATGGTTCAAATATTAACATGTATGTCGTTTAGAGTTCAGGTTGACTTTGGGTCATTGTAAAGAAAATGATCTAAAACTGTTATCTGTAAAGATGCATTTTCTTTAACCAACTGTCCATTGATTGTTTGTATATACAAAGCTAGGTTCACGGCTAATTTGGCTCTTTTCAGGGAAATAAACAACTTAATACGATAAGATGCTATTAGAGGGATTCCTAAACTCGTCCCCAAATCATATCAGCTAGTGGCCCAAACTGCAAACCAACAGATAATGTATTTTTGTTTTTTACTGTTTAATAAACATTACAGTTATCAAGCATAAACAGGTTGACTAACACTAAACCTTTCAACAAACTGTTGAAGATAAGAAAACTAATCTTTCTTAAAGTGTGTGTGTAATGGGAAGGCTGGGCTTAATGTTTAAGGCTAGACAGACTATTTAGGTTTTGGTCTATCTATCTATCTATCTATCTATCTATCTATCTATCTATCTATCTATCTATCTATCTATCTATCTATCTATCTATCTATCTATCTATCTATCTATCTATCTATGTATGAGATTACCCAATTTTTATTCTGTTATGTTGCCCACTTTTGATTTTCCAACAATTTTAAAATATATCCAGATATTTCTTTTCTTAAACTTTTAGTTTGTCTCTGTCTGGTTGTTGAAGTTCCTGACAAAGTGTAAGGTGAATCCACCTGCTGTTAGTCCTAAAAGTAAGACGATTGTTATTCTCAGTTTTCACGGATGTGAGAACTGGTAAAGCTGACTGGAACAAAGGGAGTGGAAACAGTGGTTAGGGGATTAATCATGCCCTGTCCCACTGCCCTAGATTGTTTTGTCTTTTTCAGTGGGAATCAGACAAAGGCCTTTTAGAGCCCATTCCACACACACTCTCCTCTTCCACCTTACTTCTTTCCCTTTTTTAGAAATCAATCACTTGGTTTTATCTTTCCCAGCTGGTACTGATTTCTAAAGTCTTTCTTACATGTTTTTTTAACACATAATAACAGAAAAGGTGAGACACTTGTTATTTAATAAAGGTAAAATTTGTAAAATTATTGAAAAAGAAGGCACTACACAATATTTTCCATCAAAACATGGATTTCTGACTTTTATCTATCTTTTAGTGCTAAAGTTCAATTTGTTGGCGCAGTAATAGGTAAAGATCTTAAGTTGATGCCTTTAAAAAAGTGTAAAAAGCATCAAACCTCTTAATGTTTCTAAAATTTGGCTGATATATGCATCTCTTGCTGCTTTGAATAGAGATGCATCAGTTCATTTTAGCCAGCCATCAGAACGGGCCTAGATCAGCTCTAAATGGTGATCAGCAAATGAAATAGCAGGTATTTTATGCTTCAGTAAACAACGAAGAAATATAATTGTTTCATATTTTTGTGGATTTAAAGCTCACCTCCATTAAATAACCAGTGACATCATTTTCTCCTCTATTGCATATAAACTTTGATTTAAAAGCCCAAACATAAAATAAAATTTTAATTGCAAAAAAGACCAAGAAAGAAAATTGGATCTCAGTATCAGCTGCATTTCTTAATTAGTAATTTTACCTAAGCAACATCAGGCTGCTTAACTGCACAATATGCTGCCAGCTAAAAGTGGCTCTTTCCCTTAAACACTTAAGGTAATAGAAATATTAAGTTAACAAACTCATTACAATATTTGTAGTTGTAAGAAAGTATGAAAGAACCGCAAACTTTTTACAGCTTAGGGCTCCAGGTTGGACCAGAGAAACCCAGTGTCCAGTATGCTTTACACCATCTAATCAAATCCTCCCAGTAGAGTAAAGCATAGAGAGAGAAAAAAGACGGGGGTAAGGGGAGGGATGTAATTACTTCCATGTTAAAATAACACCCAGCCTGCCGATGATCACGGTGAGTCGACAGTTATAGATGCCCTGACGTAATTTAGCCGGCCACTTTTCAAGACGCAGGAGATTCTGCTCTATAACGAGCAGGGGGGGAGAGAGACCTTTTCCATATGGCCATTAAGGCTCCTAGTGCTCCTTTAACAATAGCTTATTAAATTAAAGTTGAGTTCTGAACTTCAGGATTTACTGTTTTGTTTTGTTTTGCTTTTAATAGGGGAAGAGAGTTCCATTGTAAAAGCATACAGCTTCCCATTTAAAGTATTCATGCCCCTGTGCTTAGTCACATTTTGTGGCATTAGTTCTGCAGACTTCAATGCATTTTACTGCAAAAATCTTCGACAGGCAGGCACAAACCTGCAGAAAAAAAATGTAAGTTAAAAGAAAAACAGACCTCTTTTAATTTGCCTACAACAATCTGGAAAGTGTGGCAGGCATTTGTATTCACGCCCCCTTTACACTAATACCTCTACACGTCAACATGGTGCAAAATTTAAAAAAACAACTTTTTCTTTGATGGCTTATAAATTATATTTTATTTTCCTTTTTTATCATTTATGTTATGACTTATAAATGTAAACAACATTATATAATTCCTGTATTATCATGTGTTTCTTCATTTCACAGGAGTTTCAGCCTTAATCATAACTTTTATATCTGTTTGTTTTATTAATTCATAAGATGTCCTTTGAAAATAAACGTTTATCTACTTACATATTTGTGAATACTAACCAAAATCTCACAAATCAACTAGTTGAGAGTTAAACTGTGTGCAATCAAAGGAAACGCGGAGAAAATGAAGAGATTTTTGAAGGAAAAGTAATAAAGGTTTGCCCTTTTCCAGAAGCTGTGTCGGGTAAACTGCTAACATTTGGTTAGCAGTTAAAGGTGGTCAGTTGTTAAAAATCCCTGGTTTAAATAAATGTGTTAAAATGGCCTAGTCAAAGTCTACAGTTAAATCTATTTAAGAATCTGACAATACTTGGAAAGAGTTCTTTACTTCATGTAATCCCACTGAGTTTGAGAGCTTAGGGATGCAAGTATGCGCAAACACTGGAAAAAATCTTTTTCTTAAAATAAGTGAATTTGTTCTTGGATTTAGGAGGTAAAAGAGACATTTTGCCAATGAAACAAGGCAACTTACATTTAAAATAAATAAAACACAATTTCATTGTCTTATTTAAAGTGCATGGTATCTAATTACCTTAAAATAGTTAAAATAGTTAAAATACTCATTCTATTTGCAAACTCTCATTTACCTACTCAAATTAAGGGTAAATGCACTTCATTTAAGACATTTTTACTTATTTCTAGATTCATTTTCCAGTGAAAATGTTAGTATCTTCATCTGCAAGCTTTGCAAGGACAACATATATCAAAATAAAATGTGTTTTGAGTTGGAAAATATGTGTAAAAAGTTCCAGGGGTGTACAGCAGTTTGATACATGTATAATGAGCATGATCTGTTTTTTTTATGCCTAATGTTGATCTTTTTTAACAATTACAATTTCACATTTCTTACGATTTCAAAGAGTTTCTCAATGTTAGGGAGGAAGGAGCAGTTTGAACAAAACAAGAAATCTAAGTCTCGCCCTAGCACCCCGTCCTATGTGTTTATGCTCGTGGATGGTCAGAGAGGTGGAACGGGAGGTAGAGGAAGAGGTCAGGAAAACCGCAGCAAACCAAAAGTGAGGAGAACAAAGTGTCACAAGGATCCAGGCCACGGCCACAGGAATTCTGGGACAAGTGACCTATACTTTATATGCAGCCCAGCCAGCCGTGTGCAGGACTCTCCCATCACAGGATAATAACACAGCAGGCTTTTTCTGAGAGAAAAGGTTCAGGAAGATGGAGTACAATAAGAAAACACTCAAGAAACCAATACACAAAATAAACTATTTAAACCGTTATTTGTTTTTTAGTTCCTCCGTAATATATCCAGCAAAAATCCTTAAAAAGCATCAGAGCTAAGATCCAACAGGCATCAAGCATTTCCCCCCCTATGATCTAAGAGCAATACCCAGTTGCCATGGCGCACAGTCTTCCTCCATGATGGGAATAAAATTACAAACACAAATACAGACTGCACCCTCCGTCCCTGCGTAAGTTGTAATCATAAGCTTTTCTGTGCTGTGGGCTATTTTTCATTTGTTTCGTGGTTTTTAAGGATCGGGCAGCAGAAGAGCCGCTGGTTTGGAAAAAGCCATTCTGCTGTTGAGCGCTGGCTCGATGACGGGGCTGTGTGGCGGCACTTCAAACTCAACCAGTCTCCCTTTCACTCAACTTAAACTTTACTGTCTGCTTATTTGAAAATCATACAAGGACGTCCGCTTAGATTAGAGTCTGTGTCGATTTGACACGCTGTGCAGGTTGGATCTGGTTATTACTGGTACAAAAAGTTAAGTTTTAAAACTAAAATGATCCATCATATCGATTTAAATGCATTCAATGAGATACAAGAGCTCTATGATGCACAGAGTATTGCGCTCTCCCTCCCCCACCTGTTTCTTAGCATTAGCAGCTAACTTACAGAAGCCATCTACTGATTATGATTGCTTAAAAGAGAAGCAAACCTGCCCATCTGGAAATATGTAACATTTCCAAGAAGTAAAAATTCTTATTTTAACTGTTTTTGGTTTTTTTAACCAATAAAATGTTATTTTGAACGAGAGCAATCAGGAGGATGGAAGAACAGAAAGGAAACAAACAGAAATGAGTGAGATGAATGAAGATATTGGAGTTGTGGAGAAAAAAGAGAGAATATAAAGTCACTAGACATGAGAATAACTAGGCAGCAATGCAAAATTTACCAAAAAATGGAACAAAAACAACAAAAAGTTCTGCATTCATAACTACCCATATCAAAAACCCTGGAGTACAATTATTATCTTCCCTTCCAGTGTTTCCTTTTCCATTTAAATTGAATTAGACACAGCAGGTCAGATCTCAAAGAAAACTAGTAGCTGGTATCCAAAAAAGTTTAAAATAAAAACCGCTGGACTTTGTTTTTAAGACGTTTCTCTTCCCTTTCAGAAAGCTTTTTCAATTCAAAACGTCTGGATTAGCATTGATCTCCAAACTTTATAGCGTATCCCAACAGGCCTTGTTATGGCTTAGAAAACCAAATTATTTGGTATCTGCAGGAAAAAGCCTGATCTTTAATAATAATTATAATCGATAAATTGGAAAACTTTTGCAGGAATTTGGGGTAACTGCTGCATTTCTCTTTCAATTAAAAGCCTTTCAACCATGTTACACATTATTTTCAATGTTTAAACATTTCACCTAACCATCAAATGTTATATCTACCTAATTCCCATCCGAGAGTGTCATATCAGTCCATTGCTGGTGCACTCGTGTGTTTGAGTCAGCCTTGTCAGGGAGGAATGCATTGCTCTGTTTCAAGTTCATTTTTTCCACCAAAATGGCCCTAAAGCTGCACGTTTCCTGCTCTGACATGTTCATCTGACTGATCCCATCATCTGTGATTTGGGTTGCTGGGAGTCTGAGCAGTGGGACTGTCACTAGAAGTAGCTCCAGATATATGTAGCGTTGGAAGCCACCTGTTACATCAGGGTTCAACCTGTCAGGGACGTAGAAATCCCCAGACCGGTGGGGTCAAACGTTTCTTACGTAAAGGAAGAGATGAAAGGATATAGTGGTGCAACAAAGAACATATAAATCCATGTGTCCATATTTGTTATTATCATGTATTTAACCAACTTTCAATAACTAAAAATAAGAGTTTTGTTCTGGCTTGTATGCCCGCCTCCACCCCACCTGACCACCTTTTATAAACTTCCTGTGACCGCCTTTGGGTATTGAATCTATTATAAGTGAAGGCAGTGTTTTGAAGCAGCTGAAGGCTTTGTGGCAACCTTGTTTCATTCCACAGTCTGGAGTCACTTGTGCTAGCCAGGCTGTGTTCTGAAAATAGCCTCTGAGTGCTGGTTGCTGCAGTTTATTTTGCAGGAGGAGAACAAAAAGTCATCCGAAACTTCATGCAACTTCAAAACATATATATATATGTTTTTGAAGAAAATGATGTGTCTCTGCAAGTCATATAGGAGTTTTCAGTGAAATCATAGATGTATTAAATAATACATTTTATATAGCAAATATACTTTTTTTAAGAATGATTATTGATAAAAGTAAGTAATGACAATGAAAAAGATGTTGGCCCCGGAAAACTGAAAGAATTGTATCCACTATGCCTTTTATCTAGGAAGCACAGATTTTTAGATATATGCGTCTATTTGTTAGAAAAGGATGGTTTGTCTTTATTTAGAAAATATGAATGTTGTGCTCAATTAATTTTCAGTGTAGGGTTATGATAGATAGATAGATAGATAGATAGATAGATAGATAGATAGATAGATAGATAGATAGATAGATAGATAGATAGATAGATAGATAGATAGATAGATAGATAGATAGATAGATAGATAGATAGATAGATAGATAGATAGATAGATAGATAGATAGATAGATAGATAGGAAAACAGAAATTGTAGTTTTGTGTCACTTCTTAGTGATCCTGTCTACCTCAGCAGTGTTTACCATGGAGATAATCCTACCTTGTGTGGAGCTCTGAGGAGCCGGTGGACTCCTGCTAACTGGTTGATGAGGGGGATGTCCTCTCTGAAGGTGTACAGCGGAGGTCTGGTGGGCTCCGGAAAGTTGGTGCTGTTGAACGGATCGGTGTCATCTAAAAACTGAACCCTGCAGACAAACGTGGCCATGCTGCATGCAAGGAGGAGGGCAGGGGGGTTTGATGACAGGAAGCGCTCCTCAGCTGGAAGCAGATCCTAGGAGCGCAGGAGCTGCAGCGGATAGATGCGACCGGGACAGCGGGTGTGGATCCTCCCTGTTTGCTGCCTGAGTTATTCTCGGAGAGGCAGGTGGCCGATGATGAAGAGGAGGGAGCAGGGCGGAGAGTGAAGGATCAGCGCAGCCTGGGACAGCCGCTCTGTCTGAGCCTAAATCCTCCCTCCCTCCCTCCCTCTCTGAGCCGTGTCTATTTTCCCCTCTGCCCTCCTCCCCCTCCATCACTGTGTACAGCTTTCCACTGGATTCATCCGTGAAAACAAACTCAGCAATAATCCCATGTTGACAACAAAAAACTTTCTGTAACATAACATGACCATGATAGTAGGATGAAAGCACACCAAAAAAACATTAGTTTTCATATAGCTATTTCTCTTAAAGCGCTCTAAAAATAACTTGTGCGTCATATTAAGTCATGTTTACTACTGTATACAACTTATAATTTATTTATCATCTGTTTTAATTGTCAACAGAAGGAACCTGTTTAAAAAAAATGCTTCGTTTGGAATTACTGATCTGTGGCGACCTCTTGTGGCTAGAATTTGTAACTACAGTATCTCTATGATTGACACGAGCTTTATTAATTATTATTTGGACCAAATAAAAACACTGCTCAGCTGCTTAAGTGACGTTTTTAGAAATAAAAACAAACAATATGATGTTAATTTATAGACTCAACTTGTCAGGA